AGGGTACAGCGTTATAAAATGGTAGTTATATTGCTAAAGTTTTATGATTATTTTTTCTTTAGGCTCAAAATGCCCTAATACAAATTTACATCTAAGGTAATTTTACCTTTTTTTTCTACTTTATTGATCACTTATTTACTGGACTTCTTTCATTGACCTACTTAATCCTAAATTTGTAAGTATTCTTTGTTAGGATAATGTTGTTATTGTTGGGTGCCGTTGAGTCGTCTCCGACTCATAATGACCCAGTGTACAGCAGAACAAACACTGTCCGGTTCTATGCCAACCTCACGATCCCTACCATACCCGAGCCCATTGCTGCAGCCAACGTGTCAATCCATCTTGTTGAGGACCTACCCCTTTTTCATTGACCCTCCACTTTACCAAGCATGACATCCTTCTCCAGAGAATGGTCCTTCGGACAGCATGACCAAAGTAGGTGAGACGAAGTCTGGCTATTCTCACTTCCGAGGAGCATTCCAGCTACGCTTCTTCCAGGATGGATTTGTTATTTCTTTTAGCAGTCCACGTACTCTCAGCAGTGTTTGCCAACACCACAACTCAAAAGCATCAATTCTTCTTTGGTCTTCCTTATTTATTGTCCAGCTCTCTCAAATGTATATAAGGCAATTGAAAATACCATGGCTTGAGTCAGGTGCATCTTAGTCTTCAGTGAGACAACTTTGCTCTTCAGCACTTGAAAGAAGTCTTTTGCCACAGATTTGCCCAATGCAATACATCTTTTGATGTCTTGACTGCTGCTGCCATTAGCATTAATTGTAGAACTGAGCAATGTAAAGTCTTCGACAACTTCAATCTTTTCTCCATCTATCATGATGCTGCTTACTGGTCCAGTTGCGAGGATTTTTGTTTTCCTTATATTGAAGTGTAATCCATACTGCAGACTTCAGTCTTTAATTTTCATCAGTAAGTGCTCCAAGTCATCCTCACTTTCAGTGAGCAAAGTTGTGTCGTCTGCGTATCTCAGGTTAATGAGCCTTCTCCCAATCCTGATGCCACATTCTTCATACAGTCCATCTTCTCGGATTATTTACTCAGCATATAGATTGAATAAGTATGGTGAAAGAATACAACCCTGACATACTCCCTTCTTGATTTCAAACCATGAAGTATCCCCTTGTTCTATTCGAATGACAGCCTCCTGGTCTATGTACAGGTTCTTCATGAGTGCAGTTAAGTGTTCTGGAATTCCCATTCTTCTCAAACATTATCCACAATTTGTTGTGATCCACACAATCGAATGCCTTTGCATAGTCAGTAAAACACAAGTAAACGTCTTTCTGGTATTCTTTGCTTTGCGCCAAAATTTATCTGACATTATCTATGCTATGCCTCCTACCATGTCCCCTTCTGAATCCAGCTTGCATTTCTGGAAGTTGTCTGTCTATATACTGCTGCACCCGTTTTTTAATTATCTTCAGTAAGATTTTATTTGCATGTGGTATTAATTATATTGTTTGATAGTTTCCCCATTCTGTGGAATCACCTTTCTTTGGAATGGGTATACATATGGATCTCTTCCAGTCAGTTGGCCTGGTAGCTGTCTTCCAGATCTCTTGGCATAGATGAGTTAATGCCTCCAGTGCAGCATCTGTTTGTTGAAACATGTCAATGGGGATTCCATCAATGCCCAGAGCCTTGTTTTTCACCAATGTTAGGGTTGCAGCCATTGTGTCAGTGTATCTCGTTGAGGGCCTTCCCCATTTTCATTGACCGTCCACTTTACCAAGCATGATATCCTTTTCCAGAGAATGGTCCCTTCTGACAACATGACCAAAGTAGGTGAGATGAAGTCTGGCCATTCTTGCTTACAAGGAGCATTCCAGCTGCACTTCTTCCAGGATAGATTTGTTAATTCTTCTAGCAGTCCTTGGTACTTTCAGTGTTCTTTTCCAACACCACACCACAACTCAAAAAACATCAACTCTTCTTTGGTCTTCATTATTCATTGTCCAGCTTTCACATGCATATGAAGTGACTGAAAATACCATGGCTTGGGTTAGATGCACCTTAGTCTTCAAAGGGACATCTTTGCTCTTCAGCACTTGAAAGAGGTCTTTTGTGGCAGATTTGCCCAGTGTATGTCATCTAATTTCTTGACTGCTGCGTCCATTGGTGTTGATTGTGGAACCAAGTAATATGAAATCTTAGACAACTTTAATCTTTTCTCCATTTATCATGATGCTGCTTATTGGTCCAGTTGTGAGGATTTTCCTTTTCTTTATGTTAAGATGTAATCCATACTGCAGACTGTAGTCTTTGATCATCATGAGTAAGTACTTAAATCATCCTCAGTTTCAGCAGTAAGTTGTGTCATCTTCATATTGCAGGCTAATGAGTCTTCCACCAATCCTGATGCCACACTTCTTCATATAGTCCAGTTTCTTGGATTATTTGATTAGCATACAGATGAAATAAGTATGGTGAAAGGATACAACCCTACAGCACTCTTTTCCTGATTTTAAACCATGCAGTATCCCCTTGTTCTATTCGAATGACAGCTTCCTGTTCTGTGTACAGGTTCCTTGTGAACACAGTTAAGTGTTATGGAATTCCCATTTTTCTCAATGTTAGTTAGCCATAGTTTGTTCTGATCCACACAATCAAATGCCTTTGCATAGTCAATAAAACACAAGTAAACATCATTTTGGTATTCTTTGCTTTGAGCCAAGATCCATCTGACATCAGCAATGATATCCATCATTCCACGCCCTCTTCTGAATCCAGCTTGCGTTTCTGAAAGTTCTCTGTCAATATACTGCTGCAACCATTTTTTAAAAATTATCTTCAGTAAGATTTTACTTGCATGTGATATTAATGATATTGTTCGATATTTTCCATATTCTGTGGGATCACCTTTCTTTAGAATGGGTACAGATACTGATCTTTTCTAGTCAGTTGGCCAGGTAGCTGTCTTCCAGATATTTTGGCATAGACAAGTGAGTGCCTCCAACAGGGCATCCATTTGTTGAAACATCTCAGTGGATTTTCCATCAATTCCTGGAGCCTTGTTCTTCAGTAATTCCTTAAGTGCAGCTTCAACTTCTTCCTTCAATACCATTGGTTCTTGATCATATGCCACCTCCTGAAATGGATGAACATTGGGCAGTTCTTTTTTGGTACAGTGACTCTGTATTCCTTCCATCTGCTTTTGATGTTTCCTGCATCATTCAATATTTTTCCCATAAAATCTTTTGAGTATTGCAACTCAAGGTTTAAATTTTTTCCTCAGTTCTTTCACCTTGAGAAATGCCAAGCATGTTTTTCCCTTTTGGTTTTCTAGCTCTAGGTCTTTGCACATTTCATTGTAATAATTGGCTTTGTATTCATGAGCTGCTCTTTGTAATCTTCTGTTCAGCTCTTTTACCTTGTCATTTCTTCCATTTGCTTTAGCTACTCTCCATTCACGGGCAAGTTTCAGAGTCTCTTCTGACATCCATTTTGGTCTTTTCTTCCTTTCCTGTCTTTTTCTTTCTTCATGGATGATGTTTTGATGTCATCCCACAGTTCCTCCACCCAGAGGCATCTAAAACAGAAAGGCCTAGTGATCTAAGTCCAAAAAATCAAGTAGAAAATCTTACAGAGTATATAGTTCCAAAAACAAAATGAAGTGTGAAAAAAAGAAGGAAAATTCTGTACAACACAGTTCTTCTCTGAAACACATGAAGTCACTTTAAGTTGGAGTTGACTTGCCAGCATCTGGGTTTTTTTTTTTGTTTTGTTTTGTTTTGTTTTTTAAGTTCAAAGCATGGAACTTCTAAGTAGGAGTTTCCTTATAATGCTTTGTATAATGTCTTTTCTTCCTTAAGCTTGTGATTCTATTAAGGGTATTTTCCCCTACAAAAAAAGGCATCCTCCCTACTCCCACCTTTTTTGCTCTTTCTCAAGCTTGATTTTTTTAGGCCAAGATCACATTTTGTAACTTAACTAGTTCTAGTCTCACATCTATAGGAAATGGAGTGACTTAACTGCAACCATTTGGTTTTTAACTGATTTTTCTGTATGAGATCATCATCTTGTGCTCATGCATTGTATAGCTATTTAAGACTTTAAAGTCTCTAAAAATTTTAACTAAGCTTTTTCAAGGATAATTTATCTAAAGTCATTACCCAAATCAGAAGAACTAGACCACTACTGACTGCTCTGAGAAGGATTACTTTAGAAGGTCCGGGATAGAGTATAGGAGAAAAATGTAGAACAAAACTCAGAATCATTATTAAAAAAAAGAAAGACTTGGCTTACTGTTGTGAATAGGTACTGGTAGGACCCACAAGGCTATAGCTCTTGGTCACCCTTCAGACCTAGAGCTGAACTAACTGTGGCAGCTCAGTTTTTAGTCAAGACAGACAATAGATCTTCAAGATGAACAGTAACTCCAGGAAGGTAAACACTCATGTGAAGAATCAACCATTTGAGATCAAAAGGGCAGCATTTGCCCAAAGACAAGTTCAGAAGGCAGGAGAGGTTAGGAAAGGAGGAGTGGAAATGAGAAACACAGGAAAGAAGTGGGAGGAGTGATGTTACACCGAGGGGATTGCAATCAATGACATGAAGCAAAATACGTGTGAATTGTTGAATGGACTGATTTGCTCTGTAAACTTAACCCAAATCACAATAGAAAGTTTTTTAAATAAATAAAACCATTACCCAGTTTGGATATAGATTATGCATAAGGCATTTCAGTTTCAGCTCTTTTGCCTACATCTTTTCTGTTGGTTAGAACATACCTAGAAATTAGACAGCCTCCCGTAGGGAACAAATAATAATTGACAGGGATATATTTTTCTGAATTGCTTCTTTTCCTAGGTAATTTTACGAATTTGTGTAGACTTTTAACATGGGGTGGCTTGAGGTTACTGCTTTAGAACTTTTAGACTATAGAAAATGATACCCTAAATCGAAAAGATAAAATTTTCATTAGAAAATTTTAAACCATAGTTCATGGAAGTGTGTAAATGTAAAATTTCATTCCATTTTAGCATGCCAATGAAGATGTGGAAAGAATGTTACTAGGAAACAAGTGTGATATGGACGATAAAAGAGTTGTACCTAAAGGAAAAGGAGAACAGGTAAAAAGCTCTGAATGAAACTGATGTCCTGCCCTTTCTTTTTGAATATGGTATTACTTTTAATTGCTCTTGCAGTAGTGATGATGGGGAATGCCTTGAGCTGTTCACGTATCTTTTTGTGTGTGTGCTTGTTGGAACTAACAGCCTATCATTTTTGTGAATATTTTCAGTGCAGTTTCCATAGGTATGGGAGAATCAAATTTGTGGCAATTATTTATTTTTTTTATTTAAACTACAAAGAGGGAAAAATGCAAATCAGTGATTATCAGTTTGTCAACTTACATTTTTAAAGAACTGTTTGAATTAATATGCTTCTAAATTTGTCAGTCAGGAGCATGTGACAAGCAGAAATTATTAGAGACTGCTTATTACTTTGAGCTCCTTTTATGTTCACCCACAGAGTAAAATACCAGGTTTAGAAAGTCTGAAATAAACTCTTGGTGTGAAAAGAGGATTATTTTGATTACCTTTTTCTTTTTTTTTTCCCAAGAGCTCTATAACTTTGACCCATTGAAACAATCTGTTGTATAGATATGCCGTTAGAATAATACTAGTATTTCATCTCAGATGGCTAGGTATCAGTTGGCAACTCATGTTTGATAATATTTTGCTTCTATTTTAGATTGCAAGGGAGCATGGTATTAGATTTTTTGAGACTAGTGCAAAAGCAAATATAAACATTGAAAAGGCGTTCCTCACATTAGCTGAAGATATCCTTCGAAAGGTAAGTTCCTGTCATGAAAAAAACTTAACTGCTAAGTACCTGAGTGCCTTAGATGAAAGTTCAGTCTATTCTAAAGTACTTGACTTACCAACATATATTGTTTGGGTAATGTTGTTGCTAAAAGTTTAGCTATTATCAATATCTGATTCTCCAAAGTGAAGTAAGGAACTGGGAGGGATTAGATCCATCTTGAAATCTGAAGAATCTAGTTGACGGTAATGACTGTGCTCTCACACTCCCTTGGCCCCTATTTAACACTCCTTTTTCAGGCTTCTGATCTGGTCCTGATTTTCATACTTTACCTCAAGTGATTAGATATTATGCAGATTTGGTAGTGTATCCTTAAATCTCTGCTTAATGTACTGTATATTTTAAATGCAAATAAATAGAAAATGTGACACAGATGCTAATGAAGAAGTGAACATTTGATAAGAGAAATTTCTATTACTTCTGACAGCCTTCGTATATTTATATATGAAATACCAGGGTTTTTTTTTACCAGCTCATAGATCAAAAAAAGTATCTAACCATAGAACATAAGCTGTAATAGAGCTGGTAGATAAATCTAGTAAAATTGCTGAGCCAATTTTAAGAAATGAGTTAGATGTTTACATCGATATAAATAAAATCTTGGACTAAAATCAGTCATCTTAATTTTTTATTGTGAAATGTAGGTATCTGTTAATTGTTCAAAACAGAAAAAGTTTATTGCTATTCACAGTGACTGTAAAACAAAAGTTGAGTGGGTCAGCATCCCGTATATCATGTTTTGGAAAATCCTGCTTTAAGACATAAAGCATTCTATGAAAATCCATTCAGATCAAAAATTGGACTTAGGAGGGTGAGAGAAAACAATTAAATAAATATGAAAAATATTTATAACATAGTGAAGAAAAACAGAACAGGGAAGAAAAGCAACTCAGGATTGATACATGTGATACAGTCTTATTTTTTTACAATAATATTACTACATATGCACATACATACGCACACATGCTTGTTTGCATGCACACACATGGCAGAGTTAGGAGTTTAAATGTCAAGTGTAAACTTGGCTTACATTAAACCTAAAAAACCCGAACTCACTGCTGTTGAGTCAACTCCAGCTTATAGCAACCCTATAGGACAGAGTCTAACTGCCCCAAAGGGTTTCCAAGGTTGTAAGTTGGCCACATTACCAGAGCTGCTGGTGGGTTCAGACCACAGATTTTTTGGTTAGTAGCCAAGTGCTTAACTACTGAGCTAAATATCCATCAAGATGTATACCTGTGATTTGTGTACCTTACTGTTATATAAGTCACCACTAAAAAACCCCGCTTTTATGCATACAGTATGGAGCTACACATTTACAGTAGTATGTTCTAATTTTAAAAGAACATTTAGAATGTTGGGAAAATACAAGATAATATAATGTACAACCTACAGAAGTCGATTGCTAGTTCTGCGTCTTCCACAGTATCACTGGGTGGATTTGAACCAACAAACTTTGGGTTGACAGCTGAGTGCATACTATCTGTGCCACCCAGGGACCTTCTGTATTTGTTTTTAACATGAATTATATAGCTTGCATTCTGCTTTCCTCTGCACCCCACACACTTAATGTTAGTATGTTATATACTTAGGGATTGCCTTTTTAAAAGCTTTGGTACAGTAACACAGATTCCACTCTCAAATGGCAACTTACTAAACCAAAAAGGCTTGCTTTATTTCTCTAATGTAAAGTTAGACAAGACCGACATTGGCTAATACTCAGAGGTCAAAACTAAGAGATACAAAGAGTTTGGCCATAGAAGATTTTGTAAACTATAAAGGGATGCCTGGAAGCCTCCAGGTAATTCTCAACTTGGAGAAAACGGGCAAAGTGAAGATCAAAAAGGAAGCTTCCAAATCTTTATCTTGCATAGGGGAAAAAACTTTGTTGTTGTTAAGTGCCGTCGAGTTGGACCCGACTCACAGCGACCCCTCCTTGGGTTTCCGAGGCAGTATCACTATGGAAGTAGATTGCCCAGCCTTCCTTCCGAGGAGTGGCTGGTGGGTTTAAACCACCAGCCTTCTGGTTAGCAGTCAAGTGCCTTAGGCACTATGCTACTTAGGTGCCCGTAATTGTATTTTTTTTTTTTATAAATTGACATTTATGAGAGTACTTACGTGGAATCTTAACTTACCCACAGCAACATTTTTTATGAGCATTTTCCTTGTGTATTTGTTCCAGACCCCTGTAAAAGAGCCCAACAGTGAAAATTTAGATATCAGCAGTGGAGGCGGCGTGACAGGCTGGAAGAGCAAATGTTGCTGAGCATCTTCCTGTTCCATCAAATGCCATCCACCACCCCGTTTTCTCTTGCTGCATAATAAACCACTCTGTCCATTTTTAACCCGAAACAGGTATTTTGTTCCTCATCTTAACTATCCAGACCACCACTTTATTTGTTCTTTCATCTGTGACTGCTTGCTGACTTTATTATTTTCTTCAGACAAAAAAATGTATAGAAAAATCATGTTGTGACTTCATTTTTAAATGTACTTGCTAAGCTCACCACTGTATTTCAGTTGTATTATAGTCTGGTTCTTATCAACATTAAAACCTATAGCAATCATTTCAACTCTATTCCGCAAATTGTATAAGAATAAAAGTTAGAATTAACAGTTTTATTTTGTACAACAGTGGAATTTTCTGTCATGGATAATGTGCTTAAGTCCCTATAATCTATAGACACGCGAGATAGTGAAAGAAACAAACAAAGCCAGGAAAACACTCATTTCGCCTTGCATATGTAAATGGGGTTAATTTTGTCCTGTGCCTTATGTGGAAAGGAACTTCTTTGGTTTATCCTTTTTTTGTTTTGGTGGAAGCATGTGCAGGAGACATATCATCCGAACATAAACCATTAAAATGTTTGTGGTTTGCTTGGCTGTAATTTTCAGAGTAGTTAACTGAGGACAAAGGATAATGCAGAAATGATAATTTTGGCTTGCTGAGACAACATTTTAAGTGGCCTTGATATTTAAATTGTTCCTGCCCACCATTTCTTCTCCTTGGCCACTTTTTCCTTGTTTCTCTTCTTCCTGCATGCTGCTTTTTTTGCTTCTCCCTCTCCCCCCAACCCATGGAATGAGTTATTTAAAAATGAAAGGGGCAAACTAGTAGGTTTGTCAGATTTAATACAAAGCACTGATTTAACTTGCTAAGTAAATTGAAAGGTAAATTCTAACTGCCTACTGTCAGATGTCAGCTATTTAGTGTCTTCCCCTCATTTGTTCTCTCCCCTAAAACTTTTGTCTCCAGATTCCTTCATTTACTGTTTTCCGTCTGTGTTCTTCTCTTTCCCCTCCTGTCTGTCCATGGAATTTATGAAATGGAAGAGTTAATTGCATGCACTAGTGTTTGGAGGATGTTGTGGTTTGTCTTTCTAATTAGGTGTGTAGCCTATTCACTTTCCTAGAATTAATCTCTTCATCTGAATTTGAGTAGTCTCCGTTTTGGTAACTCCTCTAGCAGTTTGGTAGCCCAGTAAAGGTTGTTTAAAGAAAGAAAGAAAAAAGACGGGAAAAGAGGAGTGGAATTTATTAACATTTGCCAAATGTATTAAGATTTGGCCTCTGAAGAACACTTTTTCAGTGTTAAGTTGTCTTTACCTTAAGATTTAGAAACACTTTAGACTATTAATTTTAAGTCCTGTCTTCATATCTTTTTCGAAAATTGTATTACTGTGTATTTGGAAAAAGGACAGCAAAAGGCTTTTCATGTCAAGATCAGATTTCTGGCTTTCTCTAACCCTGCCCTTTTTTCCTTTAATTTTTCTAGTTTTGCTTCATTGCTTATCATTAGGATAGGGTAAGTTAAGTTTGCTATGCTGCTAGCATCCTAACATGATACCTTTCTTGAAATAATTGTGAATAGCATGATTCATTTCTAGCAGAGGCTGAGTTTAGGACAGCAGCTTCCATTGAAAAGTCTTTGTGTCGTGGATAGCATTTTAATGCCCTCTTGGCTCACATAAACAACATAGGGACATGTCTGTTATGAAAATCCATGAGTTTTTCAGATAGTGCCCTAAAAACAATTTTATATGCCTCACTGGTGGGTGTTCTTAGGTTTTTCCCTCACTTGACTTTATCATTGTTTACTACTTAGGAAAAGCAGCATTGCCAAATAATCCCTAATTTTCCACTAAAAATAATACTGAAATGATGTTAAGCTTCTCAACAAGTTTTAGGTTGAACCTACTGTTGTTAGATTAACTTTAATGTATTTGTTACTTCCCTCTATCTGGAATGTGGCAGTAGCTTTTTTATTTTTAACTCTCTTTAATCCTTGTTAAATTTAGTGACTTAAGGTCTGAGAGCTAAACACTGGGATTTTTGGGTAACAGACTGACAGTTTTGTTGTTCGCATAACTATAATTGGCATTGTACATAGAAAGGATATGGCTACCTTTTGTTAAATCTGCACTTTCTAAATATCAAAAAAGGGAAATGGAGTATAAATCAATTTTTGTATAATCTGTTTGAAACATGAGTTTTATTTGCTTAATATTAGGGCTTTGTCCCTTTTCTGTAAGTCTCTTGGGATCCTGTGTAGAAGCTGTTACCATTAAACACCAAACAGTTAAGTCCATTCTCTGGTACTAGCTACAGATTCGGTTTCATATTCTACTTAACAATTTAAATAAACTGAAATATTTCTAGATGGTCTGCTTCTGTTCATACAAAAACAAAACTTGATTTCCAACTGTGTGGTTTGGTTTTGATTTATTTATGGAGTTGAAGACGGAGGGTAATTTCTGTAAATAATACAAAATAGCAAACTAAATACCATGGGAGATGGGGGAGCAGGTGTTATAGAAGGGAACTAACTTCCTCAGCCTATGGAATCCTGGGAACGCATTTTCAAAAATTATCTGTATAAAAAAATAAAACAGGATTATTTCTGGAACCCAGAACCCTCTGCCATCAAGTCGACTCCAACTGATAGCAACCCCCTTTGGGTTTCCAAGACAGTAAGTCCTTGTGGAAGTAGATTGCCCCACCTTCCTCCTTAAGAGCAGCTGGTGGATTTGAACTGCCAACTTTCTGGTTGGCAGTCAAATGCCTTAGGCACTGTACCACCAGAGCTCCTTATCTCTAGAACAGTAACGTTGAAATCATCTTGGTGTCAAAATAAGAGGTGCCATAGGCCTAGTCAACCCCAAGTTGTACCCAAGTCTTAACTACAACTGAAGTTAGCTGATGACCCAGGAGCACCAGGGCACATTCACCTTACGGGAGATGAAGGCTTGTTTTAGCAGCGGCTGTCCTCTAAAGCGTTTGCTGGTTTTGTGTGTGAACCATGAGCAACAACTTTGGCTTTATAGTCTTCGTGAAAAAAAATAATTCAGTATTAAGTCCTTTTCAGACAATAAAGAAAGATAAATATTTGTTGGCAAAGTTATCTCTGCTGGAAGAGTGTAGGTAGACATTCTTTCACGTGATGTCTTATCCACTACCCCCACTCCCAATATATTTCTGATTATGTGTCTAGAATGAGGCTTAGGATTCTGCCTTTGACATTGGTATAGGGAAATAAGACATACTCTCTGCCCTTAAGTTTATGTCACCTGGTTTAGAAAGCAAAAGTAAATAATACCAGCTGAGCATATACAAGAGCCAAATAGATCTAGATTTGGAGTGCTAAGGGTAAGTTCAATTGGTGGGAATAGTTGGGTGGACTTTTTGGGGAGGAAGGACATGAATTGTTTCTTAGGTGTGTAGATTGGTTGTCTAGGGCAAAGAGGAGGACACAAAGACTACAGAGGCAAGTTAGAAACGAGTTTGAAGAAACTCTCAGATTACGTACTTTGCTTAAGGTGTCACAGCCCGTAGAGCTGGAATTTTAAACCAGGCCTGACACAAGTGTTCATCCTATTTTATTCACCATATGCTGGTTTCTCAAGATGAGGTCTAAAGTTGCTTGTAATGATTGTAACAGAAGTGATAAATGTGCCAGAGCAAACACAAATAGAATGCTGGAGTGTAGTCTTCCCTAGTTGATGTAACCACTTAGCGCCACTTTGGTACATTCTGAAAAAGGGTAGTGTCCTTGAAAAACACTTAGCTCAGTTTGTTGCTATTTTTGCTTTAAACCCTTGTCACCCCTCACCACCTTGTAATTGTGTTAATGTTTCTTCCTTGTCCAAACCATCTTTTGCCCAAGTATAAAAGGTAATGCAGTTGTTATTCACAATTCTGTTCATTGACTTTAAGAGGCTATACTCTGAGGGGGACACTTGTTACTTAATGGCTACTACAGTAATAGTGGTAAAATAAAACGGGTGTATGGTTTATGCCAAGTTCCTAGGTGGAGTTGAGATGGTTTATAATAACTAGTACAGTGTAATTTAAAATAAGATCACTAGCCATGTAGGGGAGGTAAGGGAGGCAATAAAAGTCAAGCTTAAATTTTCTTTAAAAAGAGATGGTTAACATTCTCATTAGACTCTGAAATAATAATCTTATATGGTCTTTTGACTAGAGTTTGAGAGTGGTCAGTTCAAGATTAACCTCTTCAGGTCTGCAACTGAACTCGCTCCCATAGCGTCCAGTGAAACAATAGACAGGCATATAAAGTAAACGTTTACACCAGGTAGGTACACTCCTTAGAATAATCAGTTATGGGAGATCAGAAGGGCTGTATCTGCACAGGGAGGTGGCTCGGGGGCATGAATGCATAGGAAGGAAGGACATGGGAAAGAGTAACTAGAGGGAAGAAGTGGAAAGAGAGCTGTTTCATTGTAGGGATTGCAGTTAATGTCACGAAACAAAATGTATGAACTGCTGTATGGAAAATGCATTTGCTTTGTAAGCTTTCACCCAAATCACAATGAAAATTAACAAACAAAAATTAAGCTCTTGAATGAAGTGCAGATTTTTAGTGTTAAATGGAACCATCCATTTGCTTTAGACATAGGTTCACAAGTGGCAGAGTTGATACCGATTTGAAAATGAGAGGACTCAAAGCAGAAGCCATTTCACCTGCGCATCTTCTAAAGTTCCTGATGTATTCCATGAATCCAGTTTCACATTGCAAATCACAGAAAGTACTTAGACCTGGAATATTCTGAAGGCAGATGTTGCACTTCACGTGTATGGTGAATGTGCTAACTGAGCAGCCCTGTCTCCAGATGAGCTTACTGGAATGAGTTACAAGACAGATCAAGAGTAACTAGACTATAGGACTGTGGTACTGTGCCTTCACTGTGTCTCACATTCGTGCAGTTGTGAGAACACAAGGGGGAGCTAGCCACGATGGCTCCTTACACAGCCTAAGTGCTGTTTTCTCATCCAACAGGCCAGTGAAGTATTGCCTAAGAAATAAATTAGAGTTGTTTAAGGAATAAATTCCTAAAATAGGGACACTTTTCCAGTTTGAAATTGAGATCATTGGTGTGGAAGATTACATTAATATTCTTTTACTTATTTTCTAAACACCCAGCCTTGAAACCTCAAACATTGATGACTCTTCTTCCTCATTGAGTTACTACTCAGTACAGTTCAACTTTCTCGCATCGTCTTGGCTCTTCCTCTTTATTTTCCCACTGTTCTGGTTTTGGTACTTGTCACTCCCTTCTGGATCATTGTGTTCATTTGTTAGTGTGTATCCCTCATATAGGTCTTACACAGATCAGGAGGTAAATCTTCACAGGGCCCAATGTTCCTGCTCCAGAATCGGCATTGGCTTCCGTCACCTTCCAAAAGGATCTGCCGTGGTGCAATCATAGTTTGTCACTATCCAAGCTTTCAGGAAAATCAAGCAGTGATTCCTGGTCCAACAGTTGGGGACCTTAGCCAGGCCCCAACCCACTGTTAATAGCCTGCACTTTGACCAAAGTGCTGTACAAATCCACTCAGCTATTAATAGGCTTCAAAACAGGCAACACAGTTTCTTCTTCCAAACTTCTGTGGTCAATTAATAACCATCTGTATCAGTTAATTTGAACAGAAAAAGATGTTTATTAAAAAGATATTAAGGTTGGATTTTGATAAGGTGGTACCAGTGGTGTAATTTTTCGTTTTCCACAAAGCCCTCTGTGAAAACAACCAAGATAGCAAAAAACATCCATAAACTGTACAGCAAGACTGGGTGACAGAGTATCCTCACAAATCCTCAAATACAAGCAGGGATAAAGCTCTTAACTGGAACCAGACCTGCCTGATACCAGCATCTGTACAGAAGAAAGTGAAGAGAAAGAGTGGTATTGTATGGATTTAAGAACTCCAACTAACCAGTGGGTTCTCAAAGGCCAATTTGAATGCTGAAACTACAAAGGGTTTGCACACCCCAACAGCAAGTGAGTGCAGAAATCCACAATAAGGCGTAAGAAGGCTGCAGCAGCAGTCTGGGCCTATGAAAGTCCATTTTCCCACTAAAAAAAGCCTGTGCTGCGTGAAGAAATGGCTGATTACCAGTTTATATCAGGAAATGTGTGATATGACCCTGAAATAGCTTTATTAAAAATCCTTCTTCTGGGCCTAATAGGTTATTTTAAAAAAATATTTTATTTTTGGCGAAAATACACCTAGCAGATCATACATCCATTCAACAATTTCTCCATGTACAGTTCAGTGACATTAGTTCACTCTTCCCTTTGTGTCACCTTTCCCCCATCTCTCCCCATACTGCTTCACCATCACTACTTACCTGTGCTTTAGAGTCACTGTTAAGATCTCATGTAGATGATTCTTTAAAGGAGTGCAATGCTTAAAGGCGAACATTCTTTACTAATTCAGCTAAACTAGTTTGAAGATGACTTCAGGGATTTGTTTTGGTTCAAGATTAAAAAATTGTCGCTGGGCAACAGATTCATGGCATCTAGCCTCAATGGGTCCAGTAAGTCTGGATTCCATTTGAAATTCTGTTGAACATTTTACCCCTTTTGTTGAGTCATTGATCAAAAGGTTCAGTAAGGTAGGGAGGCACCATTCAGTTCTTCTGGTCTCATGGCAAAACTGGCAATAATTCATGGAGGCAAGTAGACCTGCAGTCCAATTCCTTCTATTCCTCAGTCTCTTTCCTCTGCTGCTCCAGCTCGGTAGAGATAATTTTTTGTTATATCTTGGATGGCTGCTTGCAAGCCTTAAAGACCCCAGGCACTACTCACTGGCCTCGGGGGTGGGAAGTAGAACAAAAAGCTTAAAAACAGTGTTAGGTTAATTGGCTGGACAGCTCCACGAAGCCATGACCCTAAGCCTTCAAACCAAGAGAACTAATCCCATGAGGTGTTTGGTTGTACCTAAGTGTGTTTGGCAACTACACTCTCTTCCCACATCCCTGGTTGCTGCTGCTGTTGTAAAATGACCCTGAAATATCAGACAGAGAACTCCCCAAGTCATCTAAGGATGTGGCGATAAGGGCTGGAGAACAAACATGGTGCCTCCTTGGCCGAAGATAGTCCAGTTTGAATAAATACATCAAACGTGCATGAACTCACGACAGTGACACACACACACGCACACGCCCCTAATTGGCCACTATTGGAGGATGCCAGGGAAAGAGTGCTCGCACTCTAAGAGAAGTGAATAAAAGAAGGAAAAATTTATTTGGCAGTATCACTACGGAACTAGACTGCCCAACTATACCACTGGGTAACTAAAAAAATAAGGTGAAGCTTTTGTATAAATAGGTATAAAATTAGAATGTTTTTTTGCAATCTCTAATCTCTAGGCAATGATCATCCCAAAAAGAGATCCAAAAAA